TTGTGATCTCTAGGCTGGAATACTGCAATGTGCTCTACATGGGGCTGCCCTTGAAGAGCATCCGGCGGCTTCAGCTAGTACAGAACGCAGCCGCGCGAGTGATTGCGGGTGCACCTCGATTCACCCGCATAACACCCATCCTCCGCGAGCTGCGCTGGCTGCCTGTCGATCTCCGGATGCGCTTCAAGGTGCTATTAATCACCCATAAAGCCCTACATGGCAGTGGATCTGGATACTTGAGAGACCGCCTTCTGCCAATTACCTCCCTGCGACCAATAAGATCCCATAGACTAGGCCTCCTCCGTATCCCATCGGCCAGCCAGTGTCGGCTGGCAACTACAAGGAGGAGGGCCTTCTCAGCAGCAGCCCCGGCCCTTTGGAACGAGCTCCCCGTGGAGATTCGTACCCTCTCCACCGTCCAAGCCTTCCGCATAGCCTTGAAGAACTGGCTCGCCCGTCAGGCCTGGGGATAAGGATAGTTACCCCCCCCGAATGATGAATGTATGTTGCCTACTATTTTATTATATGTCTTCTATCTTGTTGTTTATGTTCCCCCCTTCCCAGTTTTATGTGAGCCGCCCTGAGTCCCCTCAGGGAAAAGGGCGGCCTACAAATTCTAATAAAACTACAAAAAAAAAACAAAAAAAACTATTTTGACAAAAAATAATTAAGATTAAGCCCTAATCCTAAAGTTAATGTTCTGTTCTTCACTCTTCTGGCTTCTTCACAAAACAGGTTTACTCGTAGGAATATATGAATAATATCTCATTGGTCAGAATCATGGAATTTAGTAATATATAATCTCTTTCCATTACATTTTGTAAATCCCATTAAAAGGATCTATGCCATATTCGCAGCTTTATACCTTTTGCCTCCTGTGACAGATGCGAAGCTGGCTAGACTTCATTGTTTCATTGTTCAATGTTTGTTTCAGCAATAGGTAGATTTGCAGGAAGCCCAGAGAGACAAATCTGTGTGCATAGAGTATAAGCAATAAAAGGAACTATGTTAGGATTATTTAGCAGTACATACCCTATGAAAAGGTGAATGCTTTGTTAAATGGCATCCATTTAGGTTGACAAAGCTTTGAAGAAATACTTCACTTTAATTAAGCGTCAAAGGCAATACCCCCTTAAAAATTATTTGTATCTCAGTGTATTATTTTAGTGGAAATTGAATAATAAGTAATTTACCTGTAAATATCTTGGAAAGTTCTTACTGCCCTGTTTTATGTGCAGGAATATATTCACCAAGGTGCTGTTTAGAGATATTCTTTCTATAACTATTCCATTTCAGTGTCTTCACCTGTATTTTGATCTAAATATCTGCAAAAACTTGATGTTCAGTAGAGGAACTACAAGAACAATTTATCTATTTCATACAACCCCTGTTGGTTACAAACTCAGTTGCTCTGAACATTTCCTGCAAGTAGCTATTGATTAGTAAATTCAATCAAACTTGGAAGGCATTCATGAAAAATCTCCTAGGAATATATGTCTTGTACCAAGTCAACTCATTGATTCATCTGACTCAAGTTTGTCCTTATTAAGCAGCAGCAAATCTTTAGTTATTCCAGCAGGAATGTTTTCTAAATTTAACTCAAACTGTCTGGAATTAGAACATATTGTGTGCAAAAAGAGCCATAGCAACTGTCATAGGTTGGTTAAGCAATTTAAACATATGCTTCAAAGATTCACAATAGTTAATTTATATCAGTAATCTATTAACAATAATTAACTAATTACACATTAGCATATTTAGCAATGCTATCTATTTGTCTTCTGTAGTTTGTGAATAAGCCTGAAAGTTTCTCTTGGCATTCTTAATAAAAAACCCAATTCAATTTCCTTTCCTGTATGCAAAAATAGGTAAAAGAGAAAGAGAACATCAGCATCCATATTCATAAATAGGATATATACACACATACAGAATTCCATTATATGTGAATCAGTAGAAATCTGTTCTGAACTGAAAACACAAATGTATGTATCTCTGCTCTATCACATGGGAAGATTTAGTCCAGCATTCTAACACATAAAGACCCTCAGTTAGGAACTGTTAATTAATGATTAATTGCAAATATTTCTTTCTATTAACGCTTATTAACACAATCCTGTCAAACTCCAAAGAGAAAGAAGTCTCATGTATTGCTATCTTGAGCTTCTGTAGAAAAGGAAAAATAGAAATCTAGTAAATAAAAAATATTTTAAAAATAACATGCCTGCTGCTTCTTTGTATCCTAATTGTTTATCTGTAAGTTTTATACTGTTTGCAAATTTTTCTGTGCATCTATGAAATTTTTTGGTAACTGATCTGCTCAGATGCTTCTCTTAACCTGTCTACAATCGACAATTTGCTCCTTTGTCTTGCTTTAAATATTTCTTTGTTTATGGGGTGCACATTCACATGCACAGAGCTTAGGGAAATGTCACTCTCTGTGGTAATTTTCATTTAATTAACAAAATGAGTCCATATTGAACAGCATGGAATAATTGCTTGTTTATGACACCATTTATTCAAGGTTCTTTCTACACAACGGCTTTTTTTAAAAGATCTCATGTCAGCTGTCTTCTTGTTTTGAAACCTCTTTTGATGAATTTGAATTCATTTTTATGAAATAAGTACTAATGGCATAGCATTTTATTTTTGCTCCTCAAATTAACTGTGAATTAACTTCTTATCATGGACAGAAATCTTTTATTTCTTTCATTCATTTATTTTCCTTCTCTCTGGAGTTCAGATTACCATGAGGGGGAAACCATAACTCTTATTTAGAAATATAGTTATGATTACTACAGTAGGATATTTAAACATACCATAAGCTCATTTTGATACTTGTGCACAAATCAAAAGCAAGAGCGCCATCCAATGATTTAGTAAGGTATCCACAATGACAAGGAGTCTTTAAAACTGATATTTGGAATCATGTCAGTTTCAAGTATTGTAACCTGACAGAAGCTTCCATTCTTCAGAGTTATTTAGATCTATGGAATTAATTATATTGCCCTTTGCATTCCATTAAATTGATATCCATTCAATATTAGTTCTAAGTTCAATTAAACATTTAATAAAGTTGAGACCAAAAGATTTTGCCAATCTCAGAATGCTTTTGCAATATTGTGCTTTTTAAAATCAGTAATCAATCCTTAATTTTCAGTGCTACTTCATCATGTTATAATGCTAAAATGGATAATCAGATTCATGAAACTTTTTTATCCTATGTATTTTAATGAGGATTGCAGCCAACAATACAAATAACTGCTTTAAGTCAAAGCTTTTTATGCTCTTTGCTATAGATAAGGAACAATTTTCTTGTTTAAAAACAACAACAACCCTTAATTAGTAACTTTGATGTTGGGGTAGCTCCTTCTGTCTGTGACCTTTCCCCCCCCCCCTCTGGAATGGATCCTAAAAAAAATCTGGATTTGTTATACAAAGAGAATATAAATATATCACTAGAATGAAATAACTATGAACTAATTGAATGATAAGTTTTCTTCAAATATAGATCAGTAAAACTCAAAGTTGACATATGTTTAGTTTCCCTCGATCACAATATATGTTAGCATGGTTAAGTAGATTTTTAAAAAAAATTTTTACTATACAAACGACTATATTCACTATTGTGAGAATGGGGGAAAAAAGGTGTGTTCTGTGCAGCACAGCTGTCCCTAACCTTTCTGGTTCTGTGGACCGACAGTGGCGGGAGGATTTCATGTGCTCACCCTCTACTTGCATGACCCGGTTCCCAATGGGCTGCAGCCCAGAACCAGGCCACAGACTGGGGGGGAGGGTTGGGGGACCCCTGGTGTAACACATTTGAAATAGAATTTATTTATGTCATTGAATTCTAAGACTGCCCACTAGCTGATGACTCTAAACACCTTATAGAGGATTAAAAACAATAAAGGTAACATACAAAATACCAATAACACACTGGGAGGGAATTCCCCCCCCCCAATAAACCACAATTACAATACAATTGGTGGGATCACATTTCATCCTTAATTCAGTGCCTGTGAGAAGAGCTAGGTTTTTAATTCTGTCTTAAAGATCAATTGAGTTGGAGCTATACAGATCATGGAGGGAATGTTTCAGAGGATAGACACAGTTACAAACGAGGGATGCCTATTGGGTTTTATAATGTGATTGTTTAATGGACGTTACCCAGAATATGCCAAGTCTCTCAGATCTTACAAGATGGTCAGAGAGAATTGTGGAAAGGCAGTCTTACAAATACCCAGGTCTTATACCCTTTATAACGTTTTGTGAAATATCTTGTGCAATGACTAGTATGTTTGTGTTCATGGCTCAGTGGAATGGCTTGCTAAATAGTTTAGTATCAAAATATGAAACGTTTCCCCTGAGCAAGGATGAATCACGATCAGGTTTCATGAACTTAAGTGAACTTCAGTGTTTCCGTGAGACCCAGCACATAATATGGAATGTCTTATTACAGAATGTTTTTAAATAATATTTGATTTAACTGTTTTAGTTGTTTCTTGTAATTCATATTTTCCCACTATAAATTTCACAAATATTTTTAAACTAGCGTTGGAATTTTATTGAATACTATAGGAGATTGTGATGCCCACAAATTGGTGTACAATAACATAGGGACATTTCTGCAGTATTTTTGTTTTGAAACAAATGAAACTTGGCATTCCCTTTTTCTAAACATCAAACTTTCATATGGTTAAACTTGAAACCTGGTAAATATTTAACTGTTTTGCTGTGAATAAGGTGACTGTTATTATTACAATTATCTTAAATTCTTCATTTAATTCCATCCCATATGTCTCTCTGTTTTTGTCTGATTTTTCCACTGAAATCTTGTTCCATTTTAGTATTTTTCCAATCTCTTTATAGATTTCCACAGCAGCTCTTGGATGTTGCAGATTCTCTGATTTGCTTGTTTCCTATTCTCCTTCATTTTCATCCTGCCTTTTGGAGAAGGATTTACAATTCTGTATTTTTCCTCCCTTATGTCTTTATTTCAGCCCGAGGTATTGCAGAAAGGCAACCCAGCTTCATGTACCCTATTGGGACCTCAAGCAGTCAGATGGTGCTAAGAGGAGAAGACCTCTTGCTGGAATGCATTGCCTCAGGAGTGTACGTACCAGTTGGGATCAGGGAAACCATGGTTTGTCAAATACATTCTGGTCTATGTTCTGGGACATAAAATCACACCCAGTTGCTTATTATTACTGATTTTAGGTTTGGTAAATAAAAGTTAACTTCACAAGTACAAACTAGAAATAATTCAAATGTAAAAATTTGAAAACATAATTTTAGTTCATTGATGTTTATGGGCAAGGGGAGCAAGTGATGAAAAATTGTCGTGGTGACATTATGCAAGTTCCAAAGCTTGTATATACCATAGTTCAAATATGAAATCATGCATTGTGACATCACAATATATGTTTCACCATTTTGTAACTACTATCATTAAAGAAATTAATGCCAACTTTGATGTCTAGAAGAGCATTTTATACCACTAAAGTTGTAGTACCACAATTAAATATGTATTTGAAATCTTTAGTCTCAATAGACAAAAACTAACAACTTAATTTTATACATGAATAATTAATTTCTACTCTCTTGCCTCTCAAGTTGTTTGGCAGGCATTTTGAGAGAACTCTTATTTTGGGAAGACACTGAAAATTCTATTCTTAAAATAGGCAGCAAGTTTCCAGAAAATTTCTTTAGAATACATGATTCATGTTGGAAAAATCTTGGCATCAAATGGATTTTTTTTCCCGGTTCCTTCAGTCCATCACCAGATATCATGTGGCACAAAAAGGGTGGTGATCTCCCATCTGGCAGGATCAAGTTGGAAAACTTTAACAAGGCTCTTCATATTGCAAATATTTCTGAGGAAGATTCTGGGGAATATTTCTGCTTAGCTTCCAACAAAGTGGGCATTAGCCGCCATAGTATCTTGGTGAAAGTGAAAGGTATGTCACTTTTATTGTCCCTTCTTATTCTCCAGCAGCTAGTAATGCAAAAGACCAGTGAAAGAGACTTACATAGGAAATCTTTCTGTGGTCAGTCTGACCAGGTGATCGGAACATGGTATCAGAATGCTTCATGAGTAACAAACTACTGTTTTGATCACAAACCTACATATCTTTATTCAGTCAAGTGGAAGAAAGCATGAAACTGTCATTGTTCCTTAGGTACAGTGAATTGAGGAACAGTCAGACAAGAGAGAACAAAACCCATAGATGCATAATGGGTAGAGTAAGTGTCTTAGAAAGGAGCCTTCCTAAGTTATCAGGATGTAAAGGTGATGGCAGACTTGCTAAATTCTGTTAATGCAGCTTAGTAATAAAGTAGAATTAACTTATTTGGTGATGTTTTCCCTTTGGTCTACCTGGTAAGGCTGATAACTTCTCTGCCATGGTGCTACCTTATGGAGCATTCACTACCATCCTTCCCAAAGCGAGGTCAGCATCATCCCTTCTTATTTTTCAAAAGTCTTGCAAGACTTGGCTATGTCATCAGGCTAATCACTTGAGTGCCTTATGCTTTTAAAACTTTTTTTAATGACGATTGTATTACATGTTTATTATTGTATATCTTTGTCATTACACTGCCAAAAGTCACATCTTGCGAGATGGGTAGTATATAGATTTGATATATACATGCATATAGTAAATTGGCCTTCTAAGAGTTCAAAGAATGACAGATAAGCAAAATGTATTCAAATTATGAGACCTTTTCCAATATATTCCCGTTTATATGCTACATGTTTATTCCAATTTGCCTAAAAATCAATATCATTGAATGTTCTTTTTCTGCTCCTCCCAAAAAACTAAAAAAGGTTTACCCAAAATTCTTCATCCTTTTCTATATATCAATGCAAGTAAATTAATAAATAGCAAAAAAGAAAAGAAAAGCTCCAGCTGCCTTTTATTCCTGTTCTGATTTACTTGCTTCCAATATATACAGATTGTTGTTTATTTTAGGAACATCCCAATTTAGTATATTAACTCCCATTATTAATTGGAAGGAAGCCCTTGCTTAATTTCAGCTTCCAGTCATTAGAAATGTATCTTCTCTAGACTCAGATTTGCTATAAAAAGTGTAACTAGTTAATCTGTAACATAATTATATTCACTATGTTCCAAACGACTTCTGTGCTTACTTTCCTTTTGTTGAAAGAAAATATTGATGTATCTTCTATTATTTCTTCACACAGAACTCACAATTTGTCTTCCTGTAATCATTTGAGCTTTCCTCTAGTTTTCTTTATTTCTTTCCTTTTGATGTTGAGACTCTAGAAAGAGTGCAGAGAAGAGCAACAAAGATGATTAAGGGAGTGGAGGCTAAAAAATATGAAGAACGGTTGCAGGAACAGGGTATGTCTAGTTTAATGAAAAGAAGAACTAGGGGAAACATGACAGCAGTGTTCCAATATCTCAGGGGCTGCCACAAAGAAGAGAGAGTTGAGTTATTCTCCAAAGCACCTGAGGGTAGAACAAGAAGCAATGGGTGGAAACTAATCAAGGAGAAAAGCAACCTAGAACTAAGGAGAAATTTCCTGATAGCTAGAACAATTAATCAGTGGAACAACAGCCTCCAGAAGTTGTGAGTACTTCAACACTGGAAGTCTTTAAGAAGATGTTGGATAACCATTTGTCTGAAGTGGTTTAGGGTTTCCTGACTAAGCAGGGGGTTGGACTAGAAGACCTCCAAGGTCCCTTCCAACTCTGTTATTCTATCTCATTCTATCTCTTTCATATCCATATTTTCTTCAGAAGATCACTGTAATGATAGCCATAGCATCTTTTTATGTTTATTACTTTTGTTCTAAAGCTTCCCCATATTGGTTGGATGAACCAGAGAACCTTATTTTGGCTCCTGGTGAAGATGGAAGACTGCTGTGCCGTGCCAATGGTAACCCCAAACCTTCAATCCAGTGGCTTGTGAATGGAGAACTTCTAGAAAGTAAGCAAGAAAAGAATCTAATTACTTCAAAGATTTATATCTTATATGTTCTTGACGTCATTATTGTTAGAAGGGCAGTAAAGATATTTTCAAATAACTGCTTCCTCCCTCCCTCCCTTCCTGTCACTCTTGATTTCTGATGACCACCTGGATTAATTCTATTTTTACTGCCTCATATTATAATTGCTTGAAGGGCAGGTTTTTAAACAATTGATTGCTGATACCAAGTAAGTGTGAAATATAAGCTCCAGAAGATTCAACTCATTTTATACTTTAGTCAATGCTTATTTGCATTTTTCATTTCTGAAATTATTTGTTTTGTGCTATTAAAAATAATTGATTGTTGGCATGTTATGCGACAGTATTTCTGTGGTTCTACACTTCTTCTGAATTTTATTGGAGGTTAAATTATGACGTTAAAGTGGGTTTTTAGATTGGTGTTTAACACTAGATCTTTTGCTTTTTTTAGCTAGACCTCATACATAACAGGCATTCATATACAAACATGACTTACTGTAGTCTTGATATTATCATATATTTCTATATATTCTCAGTCTTCTTAGAAGGTTCTGAATTTTGTTTTTTTTTCTCTCTCAGTTATCCCTGCCCTATGCTGCCTTTTTTTCTTTGCTTTCTCTTATAAATTTACCATATTTCTGCATTCCAAATTCTGTAATGACATAAATCTTCCTGTCTGCATAAACAACGGAAGCGTTCTGCTCCATTCTAAAATGTTGCTGTTCTATATAGCTACATAAGAACTTATTGAATGCTCACAGACTACAGTAGTTCAGGGCTGCTCTCTAAAATAGCTAGCTATACTGCCTAACAATTTTTGCTATGCTCTCATGTGGTTATTTATTATTATTATGTGGTTAATCTTTGCTCAAGTCAGGTAAATTTAGAATTTCCAAATAGCGAGGTAGCCCTTTAGGTATTGCTCCAAGGGCTCCAATTACAATCAGGACAACAGACAATTTCTTTTTCCATAGTCGCTCAACTTCTATTTGCAAATCCCGGTACTTTGCTGCTGCTGCTATTATTATGTGGTTAATCTTTGCTCAAGTCAGGTAAATTTAGAATTTCCAAATAGCGAGGTAGCCCTTTAGGTATTGCTCCAAGGGCTCCAATTACAATCAGGACAACAGACAATTTCTTTTTCCATAGTCGCTCAGCTTCAATTTGCAAGTCCTTTGCAAAAAAGCAAGTACTTTGTGATTTTTTCTGGCTACTTATCTTCAGTTCGTGCATCATCAGGTATTGCAATGTCAATGAACCAAACTTTTTTCTTTTCAACCATTGTTATGTCAGGTGTGTTGTGGGCCAATGCCTGTCAGTCTGAATTCTGAAATCCCACAAGATCTGAACTTTTTCATTCTCTAGAACCTTCTCAACCTGATATTCCCAGTGGTTTTTGCTGTACTAAAATCCAAACTTGTGGCACAATTTCCAGTGAATGATGTTAGCAATGCTGTCATGGCGTTGTAGGTAGTCGGTTTGTGAAATTTTGCTGCACCCACTGATCAAGTGGTCGACTGTCTCTCATTACAGAGGCGACATTTGCTGTTGGTGGTAACATGTTGAATTTTTG